TATTGTCTTTTTGCACAAAAAATCTTTGATTTGGTCGCCAACTTTGACTTGGTTGAACCCCTTAACTCCTTGACTACGTTATCAAAACTTGTGAACCTAATAAAGTCAAGGGTCACTATGACATAAATCGGCCAAAATCACTATGAAGACTCTTAACTTTGTCCTTGCTGCAAGAAATTTTTTTATTTATTTATTTTTTATGTAGAAAATCATATGTTACGAAACTTCTATCTTACACTGAACCTTGTAATGTATTAACCAATAAATATAAACTTTAATTCGCAAAAGAAATCAAACAAATAGCTAGGAAGTTGCTTTGAGTAGGACCGTTAGCTTTTGAGAAAATATATTTTTAGGACTTCGATTTACGTCCTCTTTATTCCTTTTCTTGTTGTTGCATGACTTCCTAGCTTAAAATATAACCTTTTTTTTTTTTTTTACAACAAAGCTACGGACACCGAAAAACTTGCACTGAAATTGTGTACCGACCTACGTGTAACACGTTTCTGATTTTTTTAACAATTTTTTTCTAGTGAACGGCCATCTATCAAATTTAGACTGTCGTTCACTCACATGGATGTCCGTCCATATTATATGGACGAGCATCCATATACAAGGGACGGGCGTCCCCATTTAAAGGACGCCCATCCTTGATTAAAATACAATAAAAAAAATTTATAAGCATTAGGGACGGCCGTCCATCCGTTATGGACGGTCGTCCCTTTATTTTGGACGGGCGTCCGCAAATAAGGGACGCCCGTCCTTAACCAAAATATGAAAATAAAAAAGGGAGAACGACTTATATATACCCAACGTTTGTCGAAACGACAAGTTGGTACCCAAAAGGTTTTGAAACGACAAATGGGTACCTTTCGTCATGTTCTGTTAGTGTTTTTCGTTAGATAATAGTGAAAAGACTAAAATGCCCTTAAAAGTTTAATTTTTAGTTTTTTAAAAATCTCTAAAAAACCCCCTAGGTTTGCTAATTTGACTAAATACCCCAATATATAAAAATTTTATAAAATAACAAATACACCCCCGCCACCACAGCGGAAAATTGTGTTACGACACAGACCCATCGGATCTGTGTCGTAACACACCGATGTGGCCTTTTCCGGCCAGATCCGCCACGGATCTAGCCGGAAAAGGACAGATCTATGTCTGGCCTTTTTCGGCCTCGACGGCCAGATCTGGCCTTTTCCGGCTAGATCATCCACGGATTTGGCCGGAAAACGCCAGATCGACATGTTACGACACATATCCGATGGGTCTGTGTCGTAACACAATTTCCCGGCAAGCTTCCGGTCTCGATGGCCAGATCTGGCCGTAAATCTGGTCTTTTCCGGCAAGATCAGCCACGGATCTTGCCGAAAAATGAAAGATCTACGCGCTACGACACAGATCCGATGGGTCTGTGTCGTAACACAATTTTCTGGCCAGATTCCGACGATGGTGGCCGGAATCTGGCACTGCCGGGGGCGGGGGTGTTTTTGTTATTTTATAAATTTTTTATATATTGGGGTGTTTAGTCAAATTAGCAAACCTAGGGGGTTTTTTAGAAATTTTTAAATTTATAGAAAACTAAAAATTAAACTTTCAAGGGCATTTTAGTCTTTTCACTATTATCTAACGAAAATCACTAACAGAACGTGACGGAAGGTACCTATTTGTCGTTTCAAAACCTTTTGGGTACCAACTTGTCGTTTCAACAAACCTTGGGTATGCATAAGTCGTTCGGCCAATAAAAAAAAAAAAATTTGGGACGGCTGTCCATAAATTTTGGACTATCGTCCCTTACGTTTGGACGGGCGTCCATACTTTTAAAAAAAATAAAAAAATCTAAACCTCTTCTTCTTCGTCTTCTAAACCACTTGCAGTCCTCTTCTAAACCAACTTCGTCTTCTTAAGGCTTACACGCACGCAAACTGCGAACTATAATAGGATTGCAAACTGCAAACTGCGCATTTCCTCCCCCCGTGGTGAACTCGAGCTATAAGACAGCTCTCATCCTAGCCCAACGGAAGTGTATTGCACTCTGGCCACCATCTCTGGCAGCTAACCTTGTCGTCCCCCACAGATACGATACTAACTTTGCGTAGCTTCTTCGCCATTTTCATTTTGCTCTCAGCCCCGAACAGGACCCAGCTTTGCTCTCTTTCTGTTCATCCATTAATGAGCAAGATGCTTTTCTTTGCCATAATGATGAACTGTCTAGACCCAACTTTGACACTTGCATGTGCTTCTGACTATAGGGATCTGTTTACCCTTCCTATGTTACCAAATGAAAAGAAGAGAGCAACTGCTGCTAAATTTGAGCTTGCTTCATTGTACGGTGGGCAGAGTGATCAGCTAACAATCATAGCAGCTTTTTGAGTGTTGGAGGAATGCAAAACAGAGGGGTCGAGAAGCACGGTTTTGTTCTCAGTATTTCGTCTCTTCAAGCATCATGAATATGTTGCTTGGTATGTGTAAGCAGCTTCAGACAGAATTAGTTAGGAATGGGTTTATTCCAGAAGATGTCTCAAGTTGTAGCCAGAATGCACATGTGCCAGGCATACTACATGCAATCCTTGTGGCTGGTTTGTATCCAATGGTGGCAAGGTTACGTCCACCTCATAAAAATGGAAAACGATTTGTTAAGATTGCAAGTGGTGCTAGAGTTAGATTGCACCCTCATTCCATTGATTTCAAATTATCATTTAAGAAAACTGAGGATTGTCCATAGTAGCCGTTACAGTAGCCACTACTACGTCTTCATTTTCAAGAAAGAACCAGCAACAGCCACTCCTTGTTTCATTTAAAATGTTTTTTTTTTTTTTTTTTTTTTAAAAGTATGGACGGAATGGACGCCCGTCCAAAATTTATGGATGGCCATCCCAAATTTTTTATTTTATTTTCATATTTTGGTTAAGGACGGGGGTCCTTTATTTGCAGACGCCCGTCCAAAATAAAGAGACGACCGTCCATAACGGATGGACAGCCGTCCTTAATGTTTATAAAATTTTTTTATGGTATTTTAATTAGGACGGACGTCCTTTAAATGGAGACGCCCGTTCCTTGTATATGAACGCCCGTCCATATAATATGGACGGGCGTCCACGTGAGTGAACGACCGTCCAAATTTGATGAACGACCGTTCACTAGAAAAAAATTATTAAAAAAATTAAAGGCGTGTTACATGTAGATCGATACACAATTTCGGTGCAAGTTTTTCGGTGTCTGTAGCTTTGTTGTTTTTTTTAAGTATCAAATTTTGGTTTAATTCCTTTAAACCCCAAGGTTTGCCAAATATAATAAGTCTCCACACTTCTAGAAAAACTCCCTTTCTTGATGAGTAATAACTGTTAAGAAGGGGGTTTCTTGACAATTCTTCACCCCTCATTGAAGCTACTGTCAAGAAAGGGTGGTGACTGCTTTTGAACTTTCAAGAATTTCTTCACAAATCTGTTGATAATTATAATCTGTCAAGAATTGACCGAATTTTAACTAATCAATCATTGACAGTCTTCGAACTGTCAAGAGATTTTAACAAAATAATAATAATAATAATAATAATAAATTGAATATTAATAATAATAATAATCAAATTTTATTAATAATAATTTTCCATCCTTGATAGTCTTAAGGGTGCGTTTGATTTAGTATTTTGGATAGGATTTTGGGGATAATATTGCATTATTGAATAGGGGAGTATTACGAGGTAAATTTTAAAAATTTATGAAAAAGCCCTTAGGTTTACTAATTTAATTAAAGAACCTAATATATAAAATGACAAAAACATCCCCACCACCTGCAGTGCCAGATTCCGGTCACCACCACTGGAATCTGGCCGAAAAATTTTGTTACGGCACAGACTAGTCGGATCTATGCCGTAACACGTCGTTACTGCCTTTTCCGGCCAGATCCACCACGGATCTGGCCAGAAAAGGCCATATCTACGATCTATTATGGCCATCGACGACCGAAAAAGGCCAAACGACAACGATGGCCAAAGATGTGGCCGTCGTTTTCAGTCAACAACGACCATTTCTTTGGCCGTCGCTGATGGCCAAATCTGGCCTTTTCCGGTCAGATCCGTGGTGGATCTGGCCGAAAAGGCCAGGTCGGTGAACTTCCAACCATTTCTGGTCGGAAGTTAGGCCGTTGTACAGATTCCGACTATCACCGACAATGGTTGCCGGAATCTGACAAGTTGGATTGATGAGAGTGTTTTTATTAATTTTTAAACTTTTTTTGAGGGGGTATTTAGTGAAATTAATAACCTTATGGGGTCTAAAGTAATTAAAAAATATGGTAATATTTCTGGAATAATGTGCCAAACATTATTTGGAGAATAGGATCCAGAATATGAATAAAAATACTGAGCCAAACATGTACAAAAATGTCAAGAATTTTTTTTGTAAATTTTAAAAAAAATATTTTTATTTTATAATTAACTTATTTTCCTGATTATTACCAATTAAATAATGGAATAATGTAAAGAAATTCTTCATAATACTCCTCAACCAACAACAATTATCACAATTCAACAATAAATTTAAACATTTAAGAATCTCTCAATTAGTTTATTGAATGGTACACTTTTTACGTGGATTTACTGAACAAGCAGATCCATAATTTTTCATAAATATTACAACTCCAAGCCCCATACAACTTAGCGACTAGTCAGTTTAATAATCAGCTAATCACCAGTGAGGCTTTTGTAATCATACTACTGGCTACATAAAATAATGCACAAGATCTAGGAGTTATTTTCAAATTATACTTTTGTATACATGTATGTAGTTTAATGCATCTCCACTACTATGTTTAATATACTAGTAGTACTATACATCCCAAGTTTGTATTCCACGTGATATGGCCTTATTTTTAGAAATACATACCATTGATCACATTATAACATGATCCACAAACACCACCAAAATAATGACAATATTTAGAATGCAAAACTAGGGTATATGATCTGCTTAAACATACAGAGCAGCAACCACACCAATAAGTGAACACGAAAGGACAATTGTATAAACATAAATCAGTGTATCCTTATAAATCACTAGCTACTAGAAAAAACCCCTTTCATTGACCAACCATATATCTCTGAGGAAAGAAATATGGCCAAGAAATAGTTACCTTAAAGCTCTCTATGTTAGTAAGTAGCAAAATTTCATTTCCTGGAGGAATGGAAAAACATGCACAACCATTTCGAAGTGAGATTTATGGAGAAAGTAAAATTGAGTATAAATATAGTTCCATATTAATATTTAGCCATTGATCAAAACAAACTAAAAATTGGTACGCAAAGCTTACAGAATTAATATGGAAACCAAAACTGATTATTGCAATATGCAGAATTTCAATTAAAAGAAACAAGAGTATTATTAACATGCAATCTACATCCATAGCAGTCTATAATATAGTACTAAAAAGTCTAAAATCTATAATCTACTAAAGGTCAAACATGGAGGAAATATAAACTAATTCAATAAAAGATCAAGTTCAAAAGTCTTCTTATGCCCCAACGCTTTTAGGAAGGCTATTAAACAATTCATGTCATTTCGGAAGAAGGTAAGTTAGAATCTAACATTTTCTCTAATACCTATTCCTGTCTCCAACAAAAATGTAGTATATAGATATGCAGGTCACTTGTAAACAATTAATAGCGATATGCTGCAATTCTTTGTCATAATTTATATGAGAGAAGACCATAGACATTAACCTGCTGCATCAGGACATTGTTGTCCCCTTCAAAAGCAGATTGCACATCAAATTCACTTTTCAAATAACCGACATGATTTTCAGTCTTCAGGCCTTGTGCTCCACGTCTTCACGGCATTCCTAAAAGAACAGTAGTCTGAATCAGACCACTTAACATAAAAGTAAATAATCGATGTGTAGTTGAAGTTCCTGACCTGTAGTGTTTGTTGATTGTGCCAGGTAAAAGTAGCCTTGAATGCACTTGAAATAACATGAATGGTTTTGTTTGACTGAGGAGCCCTATTCACATATAACATCTTCATGTAGTTTGCAGCAGAACTCATAGCATATCTGTTGCAGAATCAATAATGGGGATGAAAAGGGGAGGATAGCAGCAGAAATAACAACACCAGTTTATTAGATAAGATCATCAATAGATAGGTCCAGTATAATTACTCCTATTCAAATACCACAAATAAATGCAGCAATCAGGAAAAATTTATTAGCATTACTAAGTGAAAAAATATACACTTCCAATAGAATCAAACTCCTTACTTACTTGGCAAACAGATAAGAGTCAATTGGGAAAATTTTGTAGATGTGTCAACACTGGCAAATCCAGTAACATATATACTCAGTTCATACCAGATACTATAAATGTAAGGGAAGAGAAGAGAGAAAAGTTTAATCCCAAAATTACAATAAAATTTAATTTCACAATGCAAGTTATCGAGATGCTTAAGTCTTTGCAAGGAGAGGCAATAGTCACCGTTGATGACTTGGATAATTGAGCAACAGGATTTCAGGTCCATTTGGTGTAATAGAGAATGCCTGCCTTGATAATGCATACCTTAATAGCTATTGATAAGCCAATCTAAAAGGAGAAGAATGTTAATTTCCAATAGTTCATTAAGTTTCTCAGGATTACCTGCATCCCTGGCCTAAGAATCATATACAACTGCAAAAGTTTTGCAACTAAAGGGAGACCAGATTTAAAATCCATTATTACCTTTGATATGTACATTGCTGCTGATGCTATAATTACACAACCAGATGTTAAAGCGGCCTTGAAAGCTGCAAATCACTAAAAATAACACAAATATATAAGAGCTTAGAAAGTCATCTTATCAGATAAATTAAGCTAGAAGAAGATAACAATATGCCATCTATCATAAGGTAATTACCTGATCTAGGTCTTTGATTGCACTAAGATATTCTCCATCAGGTGAAACATCAGCAATTGAATTCAACAAATTCTCCCTAGGGATTCGGACATTATCAAACCTGAAAAAATTCCAAAACTTTTGAGTTACCTCTTAACTATAGAGAGCATAGTTTTTTAAGGTCATTCAAACGTAAAGTAGAGCAGTTTAACTACAAAAGGTCTTATAACTATTTCCAAATTCGACCATTATCAACGCCATTCAACCCAATTTTATGACCACAATCAGCTATCCAGATATTAGGACAAATTTTACCATCTGCATTCCTGATCTGGCAAATGAATGCATGAACCCCTTGATTTTTCCCATTAATTTCAAGCTGCGAAAAGACCACCGTCTGTGTTGCATGCTAAATAGGCAAAACAACAAAAACTATGTAAACACAGATGCTGCAAGTACAATTTCTACCCATGGCATGGGAATCAAATTGAACAACAAAAATTGCCAACCAAATCTTAAAGAAAGAAAAATTCCTTACATTGGCTGCTCCACCAATACAATATTTTTGAGCTGACTCACAAGGAGTGTTTATAACAAACTCTCCGGTGTTTGAATCATAAGTGGTAACTGTTTCAATTCCTTTAACGTAAAAATAACAAACCCAACACAAAGTTCAAAAATTAAGAACATAGTAAGATTCCACAAATCAATTAACAACCTTGACATACATACATTACTTCCATGTCCCAACTCCGTCATTGCAAAGCAACCTTTTACCACATAATTCTCAGTGTCTTTCAGCCATTTGTCGTGGTGTCGCTTTTTCGTCCCCAAAAACTTTATGGCTCCACCCCTGCATTCAAAATCCATAATAACTTCAAATCAATAACTACATTACACATATTCTAGTCTCTCAATCCTTAAAGAAGAACAAAATAACACCAATATTCATAAACACATATGTTACTAACTTCAAATTAATAACTACATGACACTACCTTCTTGTCCCTTAATCCTTAAACAATAACAAAACAACACCAATTAACAAACAAAAACGAATGCCAAATACCGCATAGCCATATCAAAATATCAAATAAGAAAAGAAAAAGCCAATTAGCAAACAAAAATGAATACAAAAATACCGAAAGCCATATCAAAAACTCAACAAATCATCAGCTTAAAACGAAAGCTAAGTACCTGTTTCGCCATTTTTCTTCTTTGCGCTTCCTCTCCTATTCTCTCTGCTTATTCTTCAGCTCCTTCTTGCGAGCACTGAACACGCACACAACCCCACAAGAAAAAATCAATAAACTAAAATTTGATCAAAAAAAAAAAAAAAAAAGACGAAACCCAAATGAGACAATAAGACTTAAAAAAAAAAGTCCCAGATAAAAAAGAGACGGAAAAAAAAAGATGAAGCCCAAGTGTAAGAGGCACTGTCTCGTTAAAGTAGTCCTAAGTACTTTCATGATATAAAAAATAAGATTCACAAAAAGTCAGCAGAAGTAGGAACACAAAGTAGGCGAAGAAGATTCAGCATTCTAACAGGATTTTTACTTTGGACAAGGGCTACTTTTACTATATGGTACAAAATAGCCAAGAAGATTCACAAAAATTCATCAGAAGTAGGTAAGAAAAACACAAAGTAGTACTAGAGAAATGAAAGCACTTCCACAAAGTAAAAAAAAAAAAAAAGGGAGTTCAGCAACTAGAGATTCAGCCATCAAATGGAGAAGACAAGGCGAATGGAGTGGAGAAGTCAAGGATTTCAGGCAAAAATTGGAGAAGAAGAGGGGGACGGAGTGGAGAAATGGACAGCAATTGCGTCGTCGGCGGCAGGGTTTTCGTGGTTTGGGGATTTTGTATAGATAGTGTCATAGTGACGACGGAGTGGAGAAGTTAATTAGATTGTTTATTTACTTTTTTAAATTTTGAGGGTTCAAACAATTTGAATTTTGGGCAAAATTGTTTATTATTATTTTTTTTTAATAAAACTGGGTTCGGGGTTTTGTGTTTCCTTAATTTTAGATTTAGGGACTTTTTAATTTAAATTGTTTACTTTTTAATTTTTTTTTTAATAAAATTGAAAATTTGGTTTTTTGTATTTCTATGGACCAAAACCAAACCGATTTACCGAATAATCGGAAAACCAGTTCGATTCGGTTTGGTTTTTACATTTTTCTTAACACACCTACATTTAGGTATTGGGGATACGTCTTGCCGAGAACTCACCGAAGTTAACAATCTCTGTTGGAATAGGCATGGAGTAAGCGTCAAAGTCAGCGAGCGAGTCATCGCCTACTGAACGGGAGCGATAGAAACGAGAATTTTTTTTCCAATGCGGAAAATAGGTCGATTATGAGGGTTTGCACAAATGAGTGAAATAGTGGGTAAGCATAAGTTTTAGGAAAAAAATAGTGGGAATAGTTAATAAAAAAAGGGCAAAAAAAGTTTAAGGCAATTTTTTGTTTTTTATATACTTAATCCTTCACAGTTAAAAACTATCAAGGATTAAGAATACAACAGTCAAGAACAAGATTCACAAAATTTACTTTTAACAAATTCCTTGGCAATTAATAATTGTCAAGAATCATCCAAAACAGTCAAAGATTATTTCAAATTCTTGACAATTCATAAACTATCAAGAATCAATCAAGAATTACAATTCTTGACAGTTTTCGAGAACAGTCGAGAAAATCTGTCAACTCATTCTGTTAAGACAGGAGGTTTTTCTAGTAGTGCCAACTGCTCAACATTCCACCTCAAACTATCAACCTGATGATAACCTGCTTTTCATTATCAGTTTGTTCAACATTCTTCTGGAATCTAGTTAGTGATGATGTAACGTTCAACTTATCTCTAAGCTGTTGAAATCTATTTCTAGGAAGAGCTTTTGTTAAGATGTCAACTATTTGGTACCCAATAGCTACATATTGACACTCATCATTTTCTTGGCAATTAATTCCTTGACATAATGCACACCTATTTCAATATGCTTAGTTCTTGCATGAAAAAGATGATTAGAAGACAGAGCTCCTACACTCATGTTATCACACCACAAGACAAGAGTGCTATTAACTTCAATTCCAAGCTCTTGAAATAAGTGCTAGATCCAAACCAGCTCAGTTGCAGCTTGACTTAGAGACATATACTCAGTCTCCGTTAAGGATAAAGACACAACTTTCTGTTTCCTAGAACTCCATTTTACCAAGGTCCCACCAAGGAAAATACTATATCCACTAGTTGATCTTATATTACTATAACATCAATAGCTTAGTTTGCATCAACATATCCTTCAAGGATAAAATTCTGATCTCTTCTAAATACTAGACCATGCTGAATAGTACCCTTAGTATACCTTAGAACTCTCTTGCAAGCAATCCAATGAGCAACAGTGGGAGCTTGAAGAAATTAACTTAACTTATTTATTTGCAAAAGCTAAATATGGTCTAGAAAGAGTAAGGTATTTCAACCCTCCAATAATTCTTTTATATAAAGAAGGCTAATCAGATACTTCATTATCTTCTATTCCCAGTTTGACACTAGTTGCCATGAGATTGCGAGGTTTTGATTCTAACATTCTAGCTTTGTTAAGTAATTCCTTAGCATACCTGGTTTGAGTAAGAAGTAAACTTGATGCATCTCTGTGGACTTCAAAGCCAAGAAAATAGAGAAGTGCTCCTAAGGTTTTTAGAGCAAACTTCTTATTCAAATCAGTTACAATCTGAGAAATGAGTTGAGGATCATTACCACTTGAGCTCTTTTCTTGAAGAAAAATAAGCTAATATCAGAAGTTGAGTTAACAAACCCCCACTCAAGTAAAACACTTCTGAGCTTGTCAAACCAGACTCTAGGAGCTTGTTTTAGGTCATACAATGCCTTATGTAGCTTGCACACAAACTTAGGTTGAGATAGATCAGAAAAACCATTAGATTGTACCATAAACACATTCTCTGTCAACTCTCCATTTAGAAAAGCATTGTTAATATTAATCTGTTGAATGTACCATTTGTGATGAATTGCAAGAGACAACATGATTCTTATAGTAGTGGCTTTAATTACAGGTGAAAAAGTATCAAAATAATCTAGGCTTGGTGTTTGCTAAAATCCTTTTGCACGAGTCTAGCTTTATAATTCTGAAGATAGCCATCAGAATCGAGTTTTGTCTTAAATACCCATTTGCTACCAACTATATTCATTCTTGGTGCATGGGGAACTAATTCCCAAGTTTTATTTCTCATGAGAGTCTAATATTCATCATTCATAGTTGCTTTCCATATGGTATTACTAAAGTTTCTGAAGCAGTCTTAGGTTGAACTAAGATGGTGTGAGTGGATAGATAAGCATGAGCTTCCAAATTCTGAAACCGACTCTTGGATCTGGTAATCATAGGATGAACATTTTGAATTGAGGTAGGCTATGTGATAGGAAGCATTACTTCTAGATGAATATTTTGAGGTTTAGTGGAAAATCTTTTTGAAGAAACTGGTCTTGGTGACATATCTTGTATTTCTGAGCTTGTATTATCAGAAAAAGACAATTTCTTTGAAGAACCTGAGTTTAGGGAAATTTTTTGTTTCTTAGTAGAATTATCAAAACTAGGAGTAGGAGTTGGAATTGCATCAGTAGAAGTTGTTGGAGTATAAGTTAGAATTGCAACAGTAGAAGCTATTGAACCTAGAATTAGGGATACTTCTTGTGTTTCAATAAGATTAACAAGAACATGAACAAGAGCTAGAATTGCATCATAGTAAACTGCTATACAATTAGGTATTCTCCAAGAATTAACCACTTCATCATTTGACCTCTGGCCTGCAGGATCAGTATGTTTAAAAAGAAAACACTAAAAACCAGTCTTGAAAGGAAAATCAATCTCATTGAACTTAGCTTGCTTCACAATATAAATTCTTCCAGAAGAGTAAAGACATTTGTATCATTTATGTGCACGACTATACCCAAGGAATAAACATTTTTTTTTTTATTACGATAAGACAATTTGTGCTTCTAATAAAGCCTAATGTATGGATAACAACAACAACCAAACACTCTAAGCTCATTGTACTTTGGATCTTGATCAAATAACTTCTGGAAATGAGAGGAGTAATTTATAGACATTAAGACAATCGATTTAGCAAATAAACTATTATACTGAAGGCTTGCCACTAAAAACACAAGGGCATAACAACATGAGCTAAAAGAGCTAGTCTAAACTCTGTGATTGCCTTATGTTTCCTTTCTACTTGACCATTCTGTTGATGTAGATAAGGACAGGGATGTCTAAAGGCAATACCATGCTGCTGCAGATAACTAGAAAAGGGCCTAAACTCACCACCCCAGTCAGTTTGTAGACACTTTACCTTAGCATTTAGCTCTTTCTCTACAAAACAATGAAACTGAGTGAAAATTGCATATGATTCTTCTTTCAATTTCAGAGGATATATCCACATGTACCTGCTGAAATCATCCACAAATACAATATAATACTTATATCCTTCAGAAGAAACAACAGGCAAGTCCCCATAAATTAGAATAAACTAATTCAAGTGTAGCTTTGGTTTTGAAATCAAAAATGGGAAAAGAGGTTTGTTGCATTTTTCCAAATTGACAATCTTCACAAAAATGTATTTTATTTCCAAAAGAACGATA